CCCCCCCCCCCCCCCCCCCCCACAATAAAGGCCTGATGGAGGTGTAAAAATGCCACAAACTCCTAATTTGTCTTCCCCATCTCAATTTTTCTTTTAAAAAATGTTCTTGTCACGCTCAAGCACCAAGTAACACAAAGTGTGCTAATATCCCCTCCCGCCTAGCCAGAAACAACCTACCATTACCAACAAAGGCAAGAAGTCAAGCATCAGCAACACGAGCGGGGAAAAGGGGGAAAAAGACACAAAAAATAATCCTGAAAGATGCTAACACCGAGGATTTGGAAAGGGTCAAGCCAAATATTGAAGGTTGAGATAGTAAACCAACAAATAACATAGATTTTCAATTTCTATTTTTGCATGCAACACCAGTTTAGCTGCACGTGCCACATTTCAAACTCTTTTCAATAACATCAAGAAAGTTAATCCTCCGTCACCAAGTAGCCATGTTACAATCGTGACCTTATAGATTTAATGTAATGGCCCAAACCCACCACTAGCAAAAATTGTCCGCTATGGGCTTTCCCTTTCAAGCTTCCCCTCAAAGTTTTTAAAGCACGTTTGCTAGTAAAAGGTTTCCACAACCTTATAAAGGGTATTTCATTCTCCTCCCCAACCAATGTGGGATCTCACAGTCCACCCCCTTCGGGCCTAACGTCCTTGCTGGCACTTGTTCCCTTCTCCAATTGATGTGGGTCCCTCCAAATCCACCACCCTTTGGGGTCCAGCGTTCTTGCTGGCACACTACCTTGTGTCCACCCGCTTCGAGACTCAGCCTCCTTGTTGGCACATCATCCAATGTCTAGCTCTGATACCATTTGAAATTACCCAAGCCCACCGCTAATAGATATTGTCCTTTTTGGGTTTTCCCTTTCGAGCTTCCCCTCAAGGTTTTAAAACACGTCTGCTAGGGAGAGGTTTCCACAGCCTTATAAAGGGTATTTCGTTCTCCTCTCCAACCGATGTAAAATCTCACAATGATACCAATTGTAACGACCCTAAATTTTCCCATTTAACCTAAGGTCGTTACTAAACATTTAATCCATAAACATTTAATGTGGAACTAACCTTTATCATAAATTCAACATTAATTTCATATCTCATTTATTACCTTGGGAATAAACACAAAGGACAGAAGCAAAAACATTATTGAATTAAATGCCCTATTACTAACCTATGGCCTATTAAATATAAATACGACTTAACCTATATTAACCTTTATTTTATTAAATGCAAATACAACTCAACTTATACTAACCTATACTATTATTAAATGCAAATACAACTCAACTTATATTAACCTATACTATTAAATTTGAAATGCAAACCTATCCTATGTCTGTGTCATGGTCTCAAGGTTGCAATGCCTCCGTCAGCCTTACTGGGGCGCTGCCTTTATCTGGAAAATGTAGTAGCACAAGGCTTGAGTATTTTAAAAATACTCAGTAAGTGACCCCCAATCGGAGTATTTTAAAAATACATATCCAAGCTGCCCGTCAGGATAGTACCGTAGAAAAATAGACTGTTATGATAGATCCCATCATTGCATTCGCATGTTCTTACATCATTCCCCAATAGGGGGTCACTTATTGAGTATTTTTAAAATACTCATACTCAAGTATCATGCTACTACATTTTTCCAGATAAAGACAAGGCGCCCGTGTAAGGATGACGGAGGCATCGCAACCCCGAGACCGTGGCACATGCATAGGATAGGTTCACATTTCAAATTTAATAGTATAGGTTGAGTTGTATTTGCATTTATAATAGTATAAGTTAGTATAAGTTGAGTTGTATTTACCTTTAATAAAATACAGGTTGCTATAGGTTGAGTCGTATTTATATTTAGTAGGCCATAGATTAGAGGACAATTAATTTAGTACTGTTTTTTCTTTTTACTTTGTATTTGTTTATTCCTAAGATAATTAACGAGGTATGAAATTAATGTTGAATTTATGATAAGGGTTCATTAAATGTTCAGCATTAAATGTTTAGTAGCGACCTTAGATTAAATAAGAAAATTTAGGGTCGTTACATCTAAGTATGGCTATTTTCTAGATTTTTTAAGGGGAAGGGCAATGATCCACCCATGACGCAACAAATGAAGGTATAAAAAGACTCCAGAGCCCGTGTCCTTTTACCTCTTAAAAAAGGGTGAAGAGAACATCCTGAAAAATGGCTAGAATAGCAGAAAGAAACAGAAGGAAATCAGATTATGCCTCAAGAGGGGCATTTCAAGGTTGCATGTCATAATCATTATGACATTACCCATACATTCTTTGTTTTTACAGGGAACCAGCACTTCCATTCAAATAAAGTCTAAGATACAAAAGCCAGCGGAATACTATCTCCCCAATATGATTGATAACTGGTTGAATGAAACGCTAAATTGTTGAAAGCTGAAACGGAAAGCTAAAATCCTTTGGGGTTCATGTCTAGAACTTTCTTTCAGGGCTGCTGAAGATGAGTCATCCAATGTTATTACTTTTTGTGGCAATGTACACCTTAATTCTTCTTGTTGGTGTAATAGCAACACCAAATTCTCTTGTAAATCCAATTTCATTGATCTAACAATTGGAAGAATTTTTTGCAAGTTATTTTCCATTGGGAGATTTGAATTTAGATTCTAGTTGGTCCTTGAGGTTTCAAAAGTGAAGTTTTTTTATATCTATGAGTGTCCGATCAAGCTTGTGGACACCCTTGACTATTGTCACATGACAATCGCCAGACACTACTAATTTGGTGGCCAAGTAAACTCGTGATAATCCAAAGTGACACATCTAATCCCAAATTAAATTTTATTTTTAATTAATCCCTAAAGTATTGAAAATAAATGAGAAGCACTGCAAAATGTCAAATACTGGAAACACCTTGCTCCAATTACTGCCAGCAAAATAACAGTGGAGAAAGAGTTGATTCTGATCTTCATAGCATACGTACCACGATACACCATTTGAGAGCAAAATGAAAGGACGATAATTGCCTTTAGTTTACTGCTAGTTACAAGAGTTAAGTTATCTTGGGAAAATAATTTAGAGGACTTTAGCCTTCTCCTGTCCAAGATATGGACAGTTCCAAAAGAGCATTAAATCATGACTTGCCAGAATAGATTCTGCAACCATCAAATTTCCTAATTTTGTTAACTCGGAGATTGGCCAAGCATAAATACATGAAGACAATTGAACAGTTTCAGCCCATTTGATACATTCTGTCTTTAGGTACCTCTTAAGATAAGGCTCATTCTACAGTCCTCAAAACAACAATTAATCACCGTACTCAAGAGTTAAAATGATATAGTCTAGGGAATTTGCTCAATAAAGCTCTCCCATCAAAGGTAGCGATGAGAATATGGCCTCTCCTTTCAAACTTTGGCTCATATCAGCAGTGAGCAATGTGCAACATCTGAAAATGAAGCTCAAAGGATTTCTGACACTAGAAGCATTTTTTTCAGCCAGCTCATGGGGATTGAAAAAATACTTGTAGATTATCTTTTTGCAAAGAGCTTCCAGTTCGTTTCAATAAATCCAACCCCATTTTGCCACAAGCACAAAGTTTCTCTTTCTCTGAGGCTTCTAGTAAACCTTCCAATTGACAGGACTTCCTAAGTATCTATACCCTCCCCCAGAAAGAAATTCCTAATCTTCTCATAGAAAACTACTGCCTTAGACCCTAGAAGAAATTTTGAAAAAAGAGAGTGAGCAGGCATACGAGAACAAAATTGCATTAGCATGCATGAGACTCCCTCCATTGGAAGGCACTACATATCTCCAATATAAAGTTTGATGAGGATTCTTTCTTCCACCAAATTCCAAAACTTTGAAGAAAAGGGATTCCCTCCAGAAGCTAATTCAAGATACGTCGAAGTCCAAAAACTATGAGAAAGCCCATGATCTCTAAGCATGTTCCTTCACATAAGAGTCATCATTATTTACACTAGCTATGACAGATCTAGACAAGTTAAAGTAAGGCTGAAAATGATTTCAACAAGAGAAATGGCTAAACAAAGATTGTTGCGCATGTGGGTCTTTACCAGAGTATAGAACGTTGCATTAGCAAATTACGAGTGATTAATGCACACCATATCCCTGCCAACCATCAAACCTTCAAAAGTACCAAACCACACACCTTTATCCAAAAGATATCTTCTTAATACATCAGCTGAAATCACAAGGAAGCGGTTAAGAGAATTGCTTGCCTAGGAGACTTCCAAAATCTTCAATACAACCTCTAGACTTGCTATTAATAAACATGAGAGCTGTATGAAATGCACACATGAACACAAGAGAAGTATTTTAACCTAAAGCCCTACTCAACAAAATAAAGAAATTGCAATAGGAAAACACAATTGACCATGTGGCACAAAGACAATCTTTCCAAACCAAATCTCCTAACTACATAAGTCAGTAGAATTGCTTCCTCGTAATAAGTTGAAGTTTAGGCTCCAAAAGTAGGAAACAGTGCCCTTTACTAGAAGTGGCAGGTCAACCTCAGTTAAGGCTGCCATATTCAATACCTCAATATATCATCTTTGCATTGTCAAACTACCTGCTGCTCAAGTGGTGAAAGTGGTGAAAGAAGTTATTACAATTTTATCATGACAAGGAATCGACAAGGAAGTAGCTTGCATCTGTTTGAAATGTGGTTTTAATACCAATGAAAGCAGGCAACCTGGAAAAGGGAACGCATAGAAGAGGTCTCCCACTGAGGGAAATTTTTATGGCAAAAAATCATGTACGGAAGTAGTAATATGGGATGGACTACAAATAGTCGTGGCCTTCAGGGTTATCATGCTTTTTGACAAACCATGGAAACATTCCAAAAAATATTGCTCTTGTTCACAGGTTAAAGTTGGGTGTTGAAACCATGGTTCAAAATATTGATAGAAATATCGATGTCCATGAAAATTTTGAAAAAATTTATGAGAACTGCTGACATTGATGAAAGTTTGAATTAGTTCACGAAACTCTAGTGGGGCTCAATTAGACTGTGATTGACCATTTTTAATAATCAAATCAAAATATATGGAAATGTTGGTGGCAACCAGAATTTTAGAGAACTTGGGAGCTAATTCTAAGATTGAGCTGATTGTCCTGAGGATAATCTTTTCATATGATACATTGAGCTGAGAATAAATGTAACATCAAAATTCTAAGTCAGTGATTTATCCTCAGCTCAATGTAACATCAAAATTCTAAGATTTGCTGATCTTGGGAGCTAACTGTCCAAAGAAGAATAATCTTTTCCTGGTCTTTCTTAAGAGTGCTATGAACTCTTGTGAAAACTCCAGACTCATCCATGATTTATCCTCAGCTCAATGTATCATATGAAAGAAAAATTGCAATTTGAAGAACAAATTACTATTTGAAGAACCCTTCTTACTGCTATGTAACCAGATAACAAAGCTCTTTTTCCTGTCAAGTAATATAAGAGAATCTCCTCCAGGTGTTTACGGGTCATCCCTTCAAGAACAAGGCCATTCCTTTCAATCAACATATCGTAGCTTTCATTTGAATTTTGCTGCGAAGGAAACAGAATAACATTACTCACACTGGAGAGTATTTCTGGATCTCCATTACATTTGGGTACTATGGTAATAAGAACTTCAAACCTCCACAATGGTATGATATTGTCCACTTTGAACATAAGCTCTCAGGATTTTGCTTTTGATTTTCCCAAAATGCCTCATTCCAATTGAGATAGTGTCTCTTATATATCCATGATCTTCCCCTTAATTAGTCATTCCCCTTAATTAGCCATGGTGGGACTCCAACAATGCTCTCCTCAAACAAAGTACACCATTGAGTCTCCCCTTAAACAGTCATATCTATCCATCTAGCACTATTCCAGACAACACCTCTTCTTTGGAGCACATTGCTAGTCCAATAAAACTTTACCACAGATATTCACTATGACTACACCTTCAAGGCTCACAACTCCTTTGTTCGACACTTGAGAACTTTATTGACATGGCTAAATTAAGACAAAAGCATGACCCTGATACCACTTGATAGGGACAACGAACCTCCACAATGTTATGATATTGTCTACTTTGAGCATAAGCTCTCGTGGTTTTGCTTTTTGTTTCCCCAAAATGGTCTCATTCCAATGGAGATAGCGTCTCTTACTTATATACCCATGATCTTCCCCTTAATTAATGAATGTGGGACTCCAACAATGCTCAACAGATGATGCTTCAGCCTACACTTATATTCTTTCAAGTTTTTTTTTTTTTTTTTTTGATAAGAGACATATATTCTTTCAAGTTTTTTTCAAAAATAAAAATAAATAAATAAAAATAAAAAAATCAGCCTACACTTCCTAGCTGGGGTGCGATCATACCAGTATTCCTATAGTTGGAACATTAACCAATGAAAAGATGGTTGGCTAAATATATGTGTGCAGACTCCATTTCCAAGATATAATACCTAGTAGACAGCAATCAGAATCCAGAGTATGTAGGATAGGGAGTTTTCTTTTGAGACGAATCTTGTTATACAAAGTTCTTTGATGACAAGAAGACGACAGAATGGGTTTCTTTATCCCAATCAGCGGCAAGACTCCATAATCTGGAAAGTAAAAAATTCAGGGGAATCACCCTGCTAATCTATGTTCAATTATTAAATTCAGACTTCTTGTTGTTCCTAAGGAGTTTTCTTTGGCAGGAAATTTAAGATTCCCAAGACAAGTGAAATTACGGTTTCCCTACCATGACAAGATCAAAAGAACCTAAACCTTGTTTTGACATAAATACAGACCCATAGAAAGAAGAGCCTCACCAAGGCAGGGGAAACAACCACAGCACACTTCAAAAAGAGCCTTCAACTTATAGTAACCACTTCGTACATACTTTCTCTAATGAGATTCAGTTCTTGTTAAAAATATGCATAGATCAACAATTAGGACCACGCATTCTCATCCCATATTGCAATCATCATGAAAAAACCATCAAAAAGTAGTTTCAAACAAACAAAATAAATTTTCTGGGAAATTTTAATCTTGTTTCTGGATATTGTAGATAACTGCAACACATTACAATAGACGTTCTTTACTGACTACACCCACATCTTACCAAAATTAAAGTTTGGAAATAGCTAATAGTATAACTTAAAAGGCATCATCGTATCAACATTGAACCCTACTTAGCAATATGAGCCAAACAAGAAATGCCTTCATTTGGACTCTAGTGGGTTGTGTTATGTTAGTAACAGTAGATTCACATTTTCTTCGATACCACCAAGACATCTGCTCTAGGGAAGCTAAAGGTCATTCAAAAATAAATTTCAAGCAGAAAACAGTGTTCAAAATGTGTTAGGATGTGTGAAATGTTTTAACAATAAGGGGGGAAAAAAAGAGAGATCTATTTTGTTTAAAGAGGGAATAGATGGAAGAGGTGGCTAGAGAAAGAAGCCTCAAGGCTAGAAATTTAAAAAATGTTCAAAAGATGGATCAAAAGTTTTGGATCCAATAGACACATCTAGAGAAAGGTTCCAAGATAGTGCGCAAGATAAAAATGAATGCTTACCTTTTCAATATTTTCCATCATAACACCTTTTACTTCTGAAACCTGAGCTTTCACCTTTGCAAGCTTGCTAATTTCTTCAGGATGATCAACACAGTACTGCATATGTTCCTTCAATTTTGACCTACATATAAAAAATTATATTTAATCAATAATGAATACCCTATACACCATCCTCAGCAAGTAATTTAATCAAATACCCAAATTCCTTGTTAAGACTATTGGCAGGAGCTGTGGCAGCCTTTCCCCCACCATATTTTGACACAAAATCATCCTTAACACGCTCTAAAAATGCAATAGGCACTTGTCTCCCAGCTGATTCAGTTGCGACTACACAGTATGCTGCAATTTTCAAAGACAGAAGAAAATGCAAAGCTGTTATTTTGGTTAAAGTTCACTAGTTAACGCAATGCTAGGCACACAGCCAAATATTTCATCTAGAAAAAAAACGAAAAAGGGGGAAAGCCTTATTTTTCAAGAACTCGAAGAAAACTCTCAGAAGAAAAAGAAGGAAATACAAAAATGTTTACTACTTCATCAATGAGAAGAAAAGGAACATAATCGGCAAGTTTTAGCATTTAGCAATAAGAATATTTTCAGAGTCAAACAAATAAGGTAAACTAAAAATTTAAAGATAAGAAACAGTTGACCAGAACGGAAAAACATCTCAAAGTATACGTCATGGGAAAGGCACAAATGAAAGATCTGCAGCATTCACAAACAACCCAGAAATAGCAATATATTGTGGGCGCAACCATCTAAGTAGAAACAAGACACAATTTGAATCATCTTGACTCAAAGCTGATACATCCCAAGTCATGATCATACTATCTAAGTCAAATCATTTCTAAGTGGGGCCAAGTGACTTGTCTATAGGTTTTCTTCATAGGTATCTTTGTTTTTGTTCCATCACACGACAAGATGGGTATGCCTCATTCAAGCAGTATCGTGCTACATTTAGTTTTTCAACCATGTTAGAAGAACATCCCAGATTGTTTGTGCTAATTGGAGGGTTTCAAAAAGCCTCTTCCTTAATTCTGTCACTTGTTTATTTCTTCGACAAAATATTTAGTCTGCCTATAATATAATAATGTACATGTCTTTTTTCTTTTTTTTTTTTTTTTTTGGATAGAACCGAGCTTTCATTGAGATAAATCTACAAGTCATTTTTCAATCTAACCCAATCATTTAAAGTGTCAATTTTACCCTTTCATTAAGTTTTTAAAAAAAAAATAATTAAAATATGATTATGCAGGAAAAAAATTATGAGAGCTTACGTAGAAATTTAAATTTTGTATTTTAAAACGTATGAATCAATTATTGAGTATAGTGACATCTCTATTGATTCCATTTTCTACTTCAACAACTGGATGCAACCTAGAAGAAGCACGTGCTCCTCAGAATTATGTGTGGACATCTCCATATGATTAAATTGGACTATGGGCTATTCCAACTCTATTAATAAGTTCGGTTTTATGTCATGTCATTGCTTTGTCAATGAATTTTAGGGTCAATGGCATAAAATACTTGATTGAGAAAACTGACCAGATGAAGAGTGAAATCGACACTTTTAGAATAAAAATACTAACGAAATCAATAGTACCACAAATATTAGAGACAAATTATGTAGACAAAGATCTAAGATAAATTTTGAATGAGAAATTTAATAAAAATTATAAATGAGCAAAATAACTGGATAAACTAGGCTATATTTGAGGATTACCTTCTTTGAACTAAGCCTAAGGAATCGCTAGATCATAACAAATAATCTAGCTCCCTAGAAAGTAAGCATTTTAACCCCTTGACGGCTCAAGATAGAAACAACAATAATTCGTGGAGTTGAACTCTATTGACAAAATAAGAATAATCATAATAATAATTCTCAAAAATACTTTTATCTTCTAGCTAAATCATGCTCCATCTTAAAGATCGTCTATTTTATATAGTAACCTGATTGGGAGCAACGGAAAGCGAGGTCCACAATTCGGACGGTGAAGAAATATTTAATCGTAAATGCCATAAATGAATCTTGAGCATATCTATGCCTTTTCCGTAATTCTTCAAGACATCGAAAGATTATCATACTCGCTTCCAGTGGTAATAAATTAAAAACAGGAGACAGAATAAGCAATGTAAGAAGAAATGGATGCTTGATCAATATTCTCCCATTTCTCAACATCCAAACAAAAGTTTGAAACGGTATTAACGACGGATCGGGATTCTTTGAAAAGAAAAAAAATCAGCTAAAGAAGCAAAAACATCCCTACAAGCATCATCTCTTAACAAATCACAGCCAGAATCAAAACACGAAGATAAACAATTGCAATGAAGACAGCAGAAGAAGAATAAAATATATATATATATATCTCAAAATTCAACAACGAAGAAAAAGAGGAGACGAGCAAGACTTACTGTAACCGTTATCGACGAGATAATTGAAGGTGTGGCCATCGCAATTGTAGGTGAATTTGTTATTGGCAGTGGGCAATTTCTGGAGGCACTGAAAAGCAATGGAATTAAAATTCCCACTGTACTCGGTATACTCAGAGAGAATCACGGTACCGCGAGCAACAAACGCGTAGATCAGAGACTTCTGCGCCATGTGTAAGAACGAAGCACAAATCTAGGGCTTCGAAAAAATAGTGGATCGAAAAGGAAAATCCTCGCCGTTTCAACAGGAAATCAAAAGAAAACTAAATCCCTGCTCTCTGGAATCCGATTTTGGGTGTAAAACGGAAGAAGAGAGAAGAGAAGAAGGGGGGGGAAAGCGAGGAAAGGTTCTTATGAAGAACAAAAGCAAAAGCGAAACCGGCAAGAGGAGAGAGAAAGAGAGAGAGAGAGAGAGAGAGAGAGAGAGAGAGTAGAAAAGAAGAAAAGAAAAATGATTATGGTTCAATGGCAGAGAGAGAGAGTTGAACTGTTGAAAGAACCATTTTGGTGAAGGTTTGAAAAGTGACAGACGACCCAAATGCAAAGAACAATCACTCCACCCACTCCATTTTAAAATTTTTATTTCTTGTACCCGATCCATTCAAACGATTCAAATCATACAATTTGGATTCGAAAGTGTTGGATGAAAGTGTCCCACATCGGTTAATTTAGGGAATAGTCATGAGTTTATAATCAAATAATACACTTTCTTATTGATATGAGGCCTTTTGGGGAAGTCCAAAAGCAAATCCACGAGAGCTTATGCTCAAAATGGACAGCATCATACCCATTGTGGTAGAGTCTGTTCGTCTAATAGATACAATCTGAGTTATTCAACCCAAAATTCTAAGTTGTTCCAAAATATTTCATCAACTCAAACCGACCAATGTACACCCTCTATATATTATAAAGTAAATTTATGGTCGATTTTTTAGACGTTTGTGAGTTGGTTTGGATTTAGGGGGCAGAACACCATTATAAGACATTTTAGGCACAACACTGTTATAAATTTATATTGTGAGCTCTTACTAAATTATGAACCCAAACCGAATCAACTCGAAAAAATTAGACTGTGTTGGTTTGATTCCACCTGACATCTTCTTTGTTATGAAATGAGCAAAAAAAAAAAAATTATATCCACGTTTTTTTGAAGACATCTCGAGAAACTTGTAATAGAACTTTATATTTAAAGTGATTTAGAAAATCTTCATCGAAAATCATATACGTTGAATTCTATCCCGTAAATACATCCAAACAGCACAAAGAACTTTAAATTTAATATTTTCATATTTTAGACGCTATAATAACTTTTTCAAATCGCTTAGTAGACGATCTAACTCATCTTATAATAATTCACGTATTTGACAAAATTTTAATATTCTTTTTTGATACATTTTATTTAGAATCAACATAAAGATGTATTTTTGTAAGAAAGTATGAATATTTGTGGTAAAATATATTTTGTAAGAAAGGTATTAGTTCCACATAAAGATGTATCACGAGCATATATCACAATAGTTACATTTGTATCTCATACCATCGATATGCTAGATTTTTCTATATTTAAAAAGTGTTCCCGTACATTGAAGATGATGATCTAATTGATTTTCTCTTACCAGTGTCTTCTAATGATTTAGAATTAGAATATGTTTCTAAAACAACTATAAATTGTTTGTGGTCATTGTCAGTACCGATGTAAGGCGAGAGATAAACCGATGTAACAGATCAAGCCCACCGCTGCAGATATTATCTGCTTTGGCTCGTTACATATCGTCGTTAGTCTCACGGTTTTGAAACGCGTTTACTTGAGAGAGGTTTTCATACCCTCATAAGGAATGCTTCCTTCCCCTCTCCAACCAAAGATCTCACGGGAACCAGCGTCTTCGCTAGCACATTGTCTGTCCAGTGTCTAACTCAATACAATTTGTAACTGCCCGAGCCCACCGCTAGCAGATATTATCCGCTTTTGCCTGTAACGTATCGCCGTCAACCTCACGATTTTAAAACGCATCTACTAGAGAGAGGTTTTCATGTCTTCATAAGAAATGTTTTGTTTCCCTCTCTAACTAATGTGAGATCCCACACGGGAAAACTAGAGCGAAAAAATATGACTAAATCCTAAAGATGAAATTAATAACCGAGAATAAATCGAACACTTAGTTGATAACTATAACTATCTTGATTGGAAGGATTTTGGTACTTCTTTAATAGTGTTTTGAAGGGGTGGAATACAACCGAAGACAATTAAATAGATTTGCAAAAATAAGTCATAATTAGTTTCGGAGATATCAATGAAAGAGCCAAATTTCTTACTTCAGCTATCTTAAATCCTCTATTATCAATCTTTTTCCAAGCCATAGAGATTGTCAAAATTAGTTTATTATCATTATAGTTATTTTAAATTCATTTGGACTATTCTCAATTGACCACGGTAAAAGTAAACGACAGTAAAAGAGATAAACAAAGAACCACAGTAATAAATTAACAGGGACAAATACTACACCTTTGAGAATCAACCATTCAATAAGAAAGTGTTAAATTTGACCAAACCTTTTTGGTATTCGCCTATTCTTTTGATATTTACTCAACATAGGGAGCTCAACGATAATCGACATGTACTGTTTCATTGTCTTTTAAAGAAACAATGTGAATTGGTCGGGGTTCGGTTTAATGGTTTTTGTTGCTTCCTTATTCTCCTTTAATCTGCTCTGCTTTTACAACATATGCTGCACAAAGCTCGTGTATAATAAAAGTTATGCATACAAAGTACAATCATATAGTACAGTTGAGTGAAGGGCTATTTTCAGGAACCTGGAGATGCAAACTTGTTGCCAAGATGCCTTACCTGAACCAGCTCGATGTCGAATATCAAAATCCCAAGGCTCGAACCTTCACCGTTTGCCAGACGTGTTGGATTAAAAATGGTGGTAAATAGCCTCTGCCTGTCAAAATACTGTGTCCAAACAAGCCTCATTGAATCAAACATTTAAAGACAGATCAATTTTCGCAATATACACTTTTATCTTTTTCTAAACAAGGACAGTAGGCGGCCAATCAATTTCCTCACCCCAGACCCTAGCTTATTCAGAAAATGACCACTTAATTTTTTGATTCTTGTGAATATTTTGTAAAATACTTGAACATTCTTAGTAATTCATGAATATAATTTAAACCCATAATCCTAAGGATGCGATATTACACGCTAAGTAGGCGGTTCATAGATAAGCTTATTACTTAAATTTAAACTTCACCTATATATATATATATATACACATATATTTGTCATAAACTTTCAATCTTAATTTTATTAAGTCCATGTAGTTAACACCGTGTCTTTCACTATTACATGACATACTAATTAAACTAATAAATGCTGAGATGCTAATAGTTGGAATGCCTTCAAGCAAAAGATTTCAAGATAATCGAGAACTATATCAGTATTTTTCTAAGTCAATTTTTTTTTTCTTTTTTATAACCAAGATGTCAAACATGCCTATTCCCCAACTTTTACCTCTACGTCCTTTTTATCATCCCACATCGGTTGGAGAGGAGAACGAAACATTATTTATAAGAGTGTGAAAACTTCTCTCTAGCAGACGCGTTTTAAAAAACTTGAGGGGAAGTTAGAAAGGAAAAGCCCAAAGAGGACAATATCTGCAAGCGGTGGACTTGAGTTGTTACAAAGTTGGTTATTTTTATGTATATGCAACCGGTGAGACCCAGACAACACACACACAGCATAGGGTAGCTTGTTCAAATAAGACAGTATGCATGAACCAAATAAAGAGAGGGAAACAGGAGTACGTACATTGGGTGGAATAGGTTCTTGAGATGTATTCTGATATCCTTGGGATGGTGGAATGATGACTCTACGGATGCCACCAACTTTCATGGATTTCACAGCTGCTTCCATTCCCGCAATAACCTTGACATTAATCCAAAATTGAGAGTCAATTGCTTTGCAACTAAAAGCAGGTTCAATTAGGTAGAGTGGTAGGATATCGACAACAACTGTCTTACTTTCCCAGAGCCAAGAACAAATGTAAAGGGAATGGGCTCCCCATTTTCATCTTTGTGATCATATGTTGTGTCAAAGCGCCATCCCTGCTTTGCTGCCAACCTTCCATAGTAATGAACCGCAACCTTCACGTTAATACTCCATAATAAGAATCTCTGAATTTCATACTCAGTAATAAAGTTTACCCCTATGCAATTTTTACAAGCATGTTGTTAGTCCAATCAACTTTAATAACTCGCATACAAACAAGCAGCCAACTCTACAAAATAATAACAGTAGAAGGATGGAGAAAAGAATAAAAATTGCACGCAGGGCATAGCTAGGAGTTTATCAAAGCAGGGCAAAATTTTACCCTCCAATTTTTTTTACAAAAAGTTTTTCAATTACAAACAGTCCAAGGGAAAAAGAGAATTGTCCCTTATTCCTTCTTCCTTTTAGTTCCAAGTATTTTTTCTGAATTGTAAAGAGTCATCAAAGGAAGAAAGTAGGCCACCACAATAATCAAAAGCAGCCTTGGAAAGAATAAGAAGATTAAATGACTCTTCACTAGTACACCAAGTGGCTACATATTCATCATTGGTCAAGTGCACTATTGAGGAATTTGTGAGTCTGTATGTCAGCTTTCTCACACGGCATGATAAAGAGCTGAAAAAGGGGTGTCGATTTTCTGTAACCTACAAGACAGAAAAGAAGTTGAAGGGTTCAACTCACACTAGTGTCTTGTCAGATAAGTCTACGTTGAGGTTCAAATCAAGATGTTGAAGGCATGGGGAAGTTAGTATATCGGCTAAGTAGCAGCAAGCTAATGCTATGCTATCCCTAGCCTCCTTTTTCAGCCATTACTTATAAATGTGGGGCTAGGGCCAACTTGAGAATCTTTTCCAAGACTGTACTTCCATTAAATTCGTTAAGCTTCTTATAATATCTGAGAATAGAATAGAAAGAGGATTTGACTTTTAGGTCATTGATGGATGAGTAGCTATGGTGGAGAAGAATGGTAATTCATTCTGTAAGAAGCTCAAGAAAATGCAGTCTAATCTTTAAAATTGGAACAGAAGCACATTTGGGAACAAAAAAAATCAAAATAATTCTATTTCCTCCATAATAAGAGAACTAGATGTGGAGAAGGAAGGTGGCAACATCACTGAGCGAAAGCAAGGCCAGAGAAAAAAAAAACCTTGAATTGCAGAATTTGGACTTGAACTCCAGAGAAGTCAGAAGTAGACTTAAAAATCCAAGAATTATTGGCCCAATGAAGGTGATGAAAACACAAGATTCCTCCATCCATAACTGTAACAGTCAAAACCCACCGCTAGCAAACATTGTGCTTTTTGGGTTTTCTCTATCGGACTTCCCCTCAAGGTTTTTAAAACATGTTTATTAGGGAGAGGTTTTCACACCCTTGTAAGGAATGTCCCTCTCCAACCGATGTGGGATCTCACAATCCACCCCCCTTGGGGGACAACGTCCTCGCTAGCACACCTCCCGGTGTTCAAAAAGGAAAGCCCAAAGAAGACAATATTTGCTAGCGGTGGGCTTGAACTGTTACAACAACATTTCCTATCGGAGAAGGAAAAACATAATAAATAATATTAATATCTTAGGTGGGCGGCTTTTAGACAGACAAGGAGATTGAAGATGAAATCAACGGATTTTTTCAGAAAGTGTTTCAGTAAAGAACCAGGCTGCAGATGGTTATTTATTAGTTTACATTAAAAGAGGCTATAGCTAAATTCGAACGTCCTTTTCGAGAAAATATTGCAGTTTCTGTCAAATTCGTGGAGAATGATTTCACCCAAGCCTGATAGCAATTTCAGATAATTACTCTAAAAGAAAACGTGGGAACTCGATCAAAGAAGATATCATATCCTCAAAAGGTTTCAAGAGTCTTTTAAGAATGGTATATCCTTAACGACAGCAATGTTAGGAATCACAAACCTCCACAATAATATGATATTATCTACTTTGAGCATAAGCTCTCACGACTTTATTTTAGTTTCCCCAAAAGGCCTATGGAGATAGTATTCCTTACTTATAAACTTATAATCATCCTCTTAATTAGCTCATGTGGGACTCCCTCCCAACAATCCTCAACAATCCTCGACAATCCTCGACAATCCTCTCCTCGAACAAAATACACCATAGAGCCTCTCCTAGGGTCTTATGATCATCCTCTTTATCGAGGCTTGACTCCTTCTCTGGAGCCCTCGAACAATGTACACCGTTTGTTCGAACTTTAATCACTTTTGACTACACCTTCGGCTCACAACTCCTTTGCTCGACATTTGAAGATTTTATTGATATGGCTAAGTTAAGGGCATGACTCTAATACCATGTTAGAAATCACGAACCTCCACAGTTATATGATATTGTCTATTTTGAGCATAAGCTCTCATGACATTTTTTTTTTCCCCCAAAAGTCCTCGTACCAATGAAGATTGTATTCTCTTACTTATAAACTTATGATCATCCTTTTAATTAGCCAATGTAGGACTCCCTCTCAACCCGCCTCCACAAGCAAATGCACGGGAGAAACCTACAAAATTCTTTATCCCCATTAGACAAAGAGGTCCAGTGTTAATGCTAACTCTTAAGCTTGGCGAACACGGTTTATAAAATCTGCGCAAAAGTACTTGTAAAGGTTTCTTAAAGCCATTCAGAACGCAACCTCAGAGCAAACCTTAATGAAACGAACGAAAATCCTAAATATCATTCAAGCTAATAGAACAAAGAATGTCATTCCAATTGCATTCCCAATGGATTTCGAAATCAATTCACCTGATCTCCATCGACGGGGGTTTCCCCAGAGCCAATGCGAAGCTCCAGCGCCTTGACGCCGGCCGAGTCCGGGAGCTCGAAGAACTGCGGTGCGGCAGATTTGGAAGGAGCGGCAAGAGAGGAAGAGGATGCCAAGGTTGAAATAGCGGAGAAGATAACAGCAGAGAGAGACAGAGCTCTTCTGGTCGTTGGAGAAATGGCAGGAATAAGAGGATAACGGGATTCGAAAGAGATGAAATCGAAGGTGGGATGGAGAGAAATGCATCGGCAGCGGCAGCGGATTGAAGGCAGAGATTGAATTGTCATTTTTCTTATCTGAAGCAGTTCAGTTCACCATAGCCTTATGCTTCCTTCTCTACTCCTCCCCACAAGCAGAACGAAAAATAAAAAGCGCGCGCACGCTGGTGAATGTGATCTGTACGGCTGACCCAAATTTATCTGCCCAAGTGTAAGTTAACTAGACAAGTCAACCAATCCAAATTATAAGGGTTGGGTTGGATTAACCTTTTCGATTGTTGTGTTCAATTTTTCTGAATCAGAACTAAATCGATTTCAGGCTCATGAGCAAAACCTTTCGTTGACCCAAGCCAAATAAAAATATATAAAATACATTAAAAATCTTTTGTATTAATAAGTTTGACAGGGTGTGGTACTAATAAGAATAACTGTGTTACAAATGTCGTATTGCCAATGAGATTCAAAAAATATAAGAATTTGTTCCGAATGGACCTATTGCCAAAAAGAAAGAAATCTTTCTGTATTAATAAGGGTGTTCCAAATGTACCTATTGACAAGAAAGTATTAATAGGGGATCCGTTTCAAATGGAGTTCCAAATGGACCTATTGACAAGAAATTCAAAAAACAAGAATCTGTTCCAAATGACCTATTGCCAAGAAGAAATCTTTTTTTATTAATAGGTTTGACATGGTACTGATAAGAAATTCAAAAAATTAATAGGTTTGACAGACTGGTACGGAAGAACTATGTTTAATTTCATAAATTATGTAAAAGTCAAATGGTCACCCATTCTTGTGGGGAGATTAGAGGGGATCCAGAATAAATCCCGTCCACAAACGTCTTTTGTCGGGAGACTATAAATACCCACAATATGTTGAGTAAAATTCAGATTGGTGGATGAATGTAATTCAGATCTCAAATTGAGACGTTTTCTTACAAATTTGAGCATCATATTTGCCATTTCTAAGTTTCAAGCAATTTTTGTGGTAGAATTGCACCCGAGCCATTCAATCAAGTCTTGATCAAGTTAGATTGTGGAGTGACTCAATTTAGAACAAGGTTTTCAAATCTTGCTTCTAGATTTTCGATCGTAAGAGGTAATCTAATTCTAGCCATATCTCTTGGTTGATCCAAATTTCGTATAAGGAGGTGTTAATTACTTTGATTCAAGGGTTCTTGCTTCAACAAAAGCTTAAGCTTCGATTGTTGGACTGAGAATTAGGGTTGCCTTATCAATTTGGTATCAGAGCGTAGGTTGGCATCTTTGTGGCCGACTCTAGAATTGATTTTATCTTTAATTTTCGCTATTGTTTATCGTTTCTTTAAAGTTGTCATTTATTTTTCTTACTGCCATTTACATCGTTCTTTATTTATTTTCTTACTGCCATTTACATCGTTCTTCATTATCTTTCTATTTTGTTCTTACTATCCTCTTAAAGATCATATTTAGATCTTGAAAAAAAAAAAAAAAAAATCCTTATCATATTGCTCTTAGTAAATAAATTTCAATTCTCATTTTTCCCTAAAGCATATAAATCTAGAATTGTTGTGTTTGATCGATTATATCCAAAATTATCTTTGTCTCTTATTTGTTTGTTCACTCCTTGTTTTATTTTGTTGTTACTTCATAATTAACTTATCTTGATTGCCTTGAATAACTTGTTACCATCAGAATTGCTTTACCCATATATTAATACCTTGATCATAATTTAGTCACTTTCCCAAATAGCCTACCTCTTTGTGTGTATAAACACGAGTGTCCCTGAGTGTAAAATCAGTGAGTTGAGTGTCTGAGGTCCTAAACATATTTCACTATTGTTTGTACAATCATGAACCAAGACGAGGAAAAAGGAGGGGAGATCAATGATCTAGTTGAAGAAGTCCAGAAGAATGATGAGGAACTGGAAGGTGGGATTCATTTGGCACTTATAACAAGAAGACTTGTTAAAACTAAGTTACGGAGAATGACGTTGATGATCAAAGAGACAACCTGTTCCACACGCGGTGTTTCATCAAGGGGACTACTTGTAGGCTGTCATTGATAGTGGAAGTTGTAGTCTTGTCATTGATAGTGGAAGTTGTAGTCTTGCCATTGATGGTGGAAGTTGCACCAATGTTGTAAGTACCATGTTGATTAAAAGGTTGCAAATTCCAACCCAAGATCATCCTAAACCTTACAAGCTCCCATGGCTCAATGATAGTGAAACAATGAAGTTTTTTGTGATGTGTTACCAATGCAAGGTGGAGATATATTGCTTGGCCGACCATGACAATGTGATAGAAGGGTTATGTATGATAGCTATTTGAATAGGTATTCTTTTGTAAAATATGGTAGAAAAACCACTCTGGTAGTTTGAGTTCTGCAAATGTATTTGATGATCAATTAAATTGGAGGAAAGTAAGAGAGAGTTTGAGGAAAAAGATTTAAAAGAAAAGTAAGAGTTGAGTGAAAAAATATAGAAAAATGAAAGAGAAAAAAAGAAATGAAAAAAGAGATGAAATTGAAGAAAAAAAGGAGAGAGAGAGTTATTTGGATACAATGTACAATACAATACAATGGAGGATTTTTGGTCTCTAACTATAACAACTTGGCATTGCCTAGTGTTTTTCAATCTCTTTTACACGAATTTGAATACATGTTTCAAGATAAAGAAATACCTCCCATTAGAGGTACTGAACATAAAATAGACTTTATTCCAAGTGAGACAAAATAAATTCAAAAGTAAGTGGAGGAGCTCATGGAGAAGGGCTATGTGTGAATGTTTGATTAATCCACCACACTTAAATCGTGTGAAAGTTATCTTATTTATAATCAAATAAATTACAAGGATATGGAAATAGTAATAAATAGAAATAACAATAAATGGAAAGATATAATAAGACAAATATTAGATATTTGTCTTATAATAAAATATCAAATATAATATATATGGTAAACTATAATTTATTACTAAATATCCTTAACACCCCACCGCAAGCTAAGCGTCGGATTTAAACGAACGTGAAGCTTGAATCTGAAAAATTCAAAGAGATTGAGAAACACTTTTCATGAAGATGATAACAACCCGGTTCTTGGCCATCAAAAATTGCAGAGGGATCGCCGCTCAGCGGCGATGCTGCCTTGGCTTCGGCGAGAATCTGTCTAACCCATGAAGAGGGATTGTCGCTTAACGACGATGCTGCCTTGGCTCTGGTGAGAATATTTCTAACCCCAAGAAGTAGAAGGGGAAACCTAGAGCAAGGGACAAAGACAATGTTGAAGCCGGAAGAGTCACCACATTGGGTGAAGGAGCCAATTTTGGCGAGAAGGGCAGTCGGAAGAGTCGCCTCATCGGGCGAAGAAGCCAATTTTGGCAGGAAGGGCGGCGGCAACTTGGTTGGCGAATAGGCCAGTGCGGCACCCAGATTCCGAAGGTAAATCTCTCCAAAAGGTTGATAGGTTTAGGTTAGGGTTTATGTGAAGGATGAAGGTTGATTGGAAGAAAATGAGAGAGACTATATTGGCCAAAGGGAAAAGCGATTTGGTTGGAAAAGGTGAGGTTGTATGTACAGAGTATGACAAAAGGTGATTTGGAGGTCAATAGGGTGGAGCCGAAGAGTAATCAATCGGCTTCGACTACGGCAGCCATGAAGACTGCCCCTGCGGCGTCAAAACCAGCAGGGGTGATGGAGAAGAAGATTAGAGGATTCAAAAGCCATTGAAAAGAAAGGATCAGGGTTGTTAAACCGAAAGGGCTCTGATACCATGTGAATGTTTGATTAATCCACCACACTTAAATCGTGTGAAAGTTATCTTATTTATAATCAAATAAATTACAAGGATATGGAAATAGTAATAAATAGAAATAACAATAAATGGAAAGATATAATAAGACAAATATTAGATATTTGTCTTATAATAAAATATCAAATATAATATATATGGTAAACTATAATTTATTACTAAATATCCTTAGCTCATGGAGAAGGGCTATGTACGAGAAAGTTTGAGTCCATGTTCTATACGAGACTTATTGGTGCCAAAGAAAGATGAAACTTGGCGCATATACATGGATAATAGAGTCATCAACAAAAGCACAGTAAAGAATCGACATCATATTCCTAGGTTAGACGATATGCTTGATTTATTGCATGATTCGTGTCTATTTATAACAAATTATTTTGAAATCTGGATATCATCAAATTAGAATGCATGTAGGAGATGAATGGAAAACAACTTTCAATATTAAGTTTGGAATGTATAAATAGCTTGTTATGCCTTTTAGGTTAACTAATGCTTCTAGTACACCTATGTACTTAATATATAATGTTTTGAGAAAATATATGAGAAAACATGTTGTTTATATTGATGATATTATAATTTATTTGAAGACTTTGATTGAGCATCTGGAGCATATTAAATTAGTTTTGATTATACATGAAAAGAGAAATTTAATTTTAATAAGGGTAGTCTTAGAAAAAGTTCACTCTATTGGCTTCATAGTTGGAAAGGTAGAGTAGCTTTAGATAGAGACAAAGTTAAATTCATTATGGATTTGCCAATACCAAAGTATGCACGAAAATTTCAGAGTTTTCATGAGTTAGCTCACTCTTTAAGAGATTTATAAATGATTTTAGAACCATAACTGAACTATTGAATGACTTAGTGAAAAAGAATGTTATTTTTAAATGGGAGAAATGTAAAAGAATACATCCAATTTTCTTAGGAAGAAATTAAGCAAACCATTATTTATTTTGGCTAGCTTTAATAAAACTATTGAAATTGAAAGTGATGTATGTGGTTTAGGCATAAGTGTTGTTTTAATTCAAGATGGGAAGTACTTAATTTATTTTAGTGAAAAACTAAATGGGCCAACATTGAAATATACCACCTATGATAAAGAATTATTTGTTTTAGTTCATATAGTGCATGTGTGACAACACTACTTATGGCCTATGGCCTAGAGAATTTGTGATCCATTTTAATCATGAAAGCTTGAAGTATGTGAAGGGTCAAAGCAAACTGAATCGTATACATGCAAAGTGGAATTTATTAAAACATTTTCATATGCCATCAAATATAGCTGATGTGTTATCTAAAAGGTACAATCTCTTTACTTTTCTTAGTCCAAAAATTCTTGGACTTGATCATATTACCGAATTATA